TGAACAACGCATCAGTGTTTCAATGTTATGAACGGCCTCGCATACCTTCTCAACCATACAACAAGATTCTATCGATACGCTGAAACATTGTGTGCACAACATCTGATTTCGGATATGATTGGAGCATGTTACCTTCAAACCGACGGGTCTAAGCACGTTCAAGGTATGCGAGAGCTGGTCCGCCGTGCACTCTCCGCGCAGGAATCTCACAGTGCCAAGGTGTGAACATGCCACGGTGTGCCATTCAACATGAAAGACGTCAGTTAAATCAACATGGCGCGCAAATAGAATGTAACCTGCAGGCTGGGATAGGGTTTAAGAGACGGTGAGTGCGAAGTTTAGCGTTGGGAGGTGCGCCTCTCTTTTCACTGTACTGCTCATGACCTGACTGCAACTCTGTAAACGCGTGCTTTATATGCACTACCTGTAAAGCATTCGCCTGGCCCTACAATACTCAAGCGCTCTCTGCCTCTTCACTGTTCTTGAATAGGAACCTCTCTCCGGTGAGAGGTGCCGACGAAGTCTCCCCTGCTCATGCTCCAGCTGTTCCAAAACCTGGTGTCGCAAACTCCAAATGAAGTCGCCTGGGCCTCCTTCAGTGCCTCGATCTCCCCACTGCGAGCAGCTTTGCGGTCCTTGTAATAGAAACATACAATGCCCAGGAGGAAGAAACAACGCTGCGAGCACAAGCCCAGAACAGACTCCCACCAGCCCTCTGGGCGGAGGTGGATCAGAGCGTTTCCTTTGCCAGCCGACTCTTCTTTTACTTCGGAAAAGGGTTCACCAATGTCCCCCATTGCTGACCACCATATCCCCCGCACGACTGGCAGCCAACCCGGACCCATGCCGCCCTCCCCCCGCCATCCATGACAAAAAGCAATGCAGCATGCACGTTGCCTCCAAACCTGGAGCGTGCGCGGGCGCCCCGCGACCACTCTGCATTGGTCTTTGATAGGGGCGGCGGGGGAGTCTCATACTGCTTGCTGCGCGCAGGCCAACCATCTCTTCCAACAGAAAGTACACAATACATGTCGCGCAATCGGGAGCATGCGCGGGCGCCCCGCGACCACTTTGCATGGCTGTTTTCAAGGATGCCTGGGTGCTAGCTATGTGTTGGGAGGGCCGGTGGGGATGAGAGAGACGGATTGTGCTGTGGGCTGGAGGTGGCTTCACCACTATTTTCTATAGACAAAACACCCCCTCCCCAAGGCGACCAGCAGCCAACCAGGAACAATGGACAGCCCCCCCACCATTCCTGTCAAATACAAAGTAAACACTGGGGCCAACTAGTGGGTCATGCTTGTGGTTTCCGCAAGCACGTTGCATCATTGTTGGCCAGGGGACGGCGGAAGTGGTATCATGTTGCTTGCTGCGCGCAAGACCACCATCCCTGTCAACAAAATATATAAAATACGCTTCGCGGATAAATCTGGATCATGCGCGGCAGCCCCGCGATCATCGTCCATGGGTTTTTGATAAGGACGGCGGGGGTGCTGGCACATTGTCTGCTGCGTGCAGGCCCACCAGAAACCATGATGGCCTCCCCGCCGAAGTTGTGAGTTGGCTTTCGGTAAGGATGGTGGGGGCCGACATGTTTCCCGATGTGTGCTGTCACGTGAACGGGCGCACGCCACACTCTCCACACGAGTGCCGCAGGATGTACACGTCCCCAGACCGACGCGCCCGCGTAATACGCCCTCAGGCCCTCGGCCACCTCCTCTGGTGAAAGAGTCAAGCCTCATCACAACCAATGCGAAGAACTATCCCGACTTCTCAGCAAACCGGCGACAAAGAAGCGTGGGAGGATAATGCATGACAGATGCCGTCCACGGGAGCGATAGTAAATCTGGTAAGGTAACGTCGGCCAAGAAAATGGGATCGTAAGTCCATCAACCAATGCAAGCTAGAGGGGGACTGAATCGACAACGCAACCTGCTTTAGGAGGGACGGCGAAAACAAAATCACGGTCCGTGCCCTCAAACTCGATGGGCACCGAGGGTGGAGGGGAGCAACATCAAAGAGCGCGAGCCGGAGCGGCGAGTCCTCATATGTGGACGACCCCTCCAAGCAAGCTGGCGACAGATCCTGAGCAGCGCTAGGCATAATGTATGACAGCTGCTAACCAGCCTCGAACGTATCCCTATCCCTAAGATGGGCGAGCAAAAAGCGAGGACAATCTTAGGGATAGGCCCTCAAAAACTGAGGGGATCCTTAAGATCGGCATCGAGGTGAGGTGATGTCAAACATAGGGATAGGGATATGCTCCAGGCTGGTAAGCTGCGGCCGAAGCGCAGGAGAGAGCAAGCACATCACGAGAGACAACGAGGTGCGGTTGGGCGATCGACGCGCACACGCCGCAGAACGAGGCAGGGAGAAAGACAGAGACGAGAGAGAGAGAGAGAGAACAAAAAAAACAAAAAAACATCGCCCGTGCGGGTTCCCGCACCATCTCCCGTGTGGGGTCGTCCGTGTGATCTCCCACATGCGCCCCGCACGCGGC